TAGATTTGGATGTTACCATTTGGTGAATGCCAGTTTCCCAGAGACACGGAAGCTTCTTTGACTACTAGATAGACATCACAGAACCACAATCAGAAGTTTGTTCTCCCACAATCAACTACCGTGCTAGAACTGTCCTACTGCCACAAAGGAACCACACTGCATGCTATACAACCTATAAGACTCCGCAGTCTTTGACTTTCTAAGCTTACACATACCCACATTCTCCCCATACCCCGCGGGCACCCTTCAACTTCAAAAACGAACTAACAGGATCTAGCTGATTCGACCAAAACACCACCTCATCACCATCTCCGTCGCACCACCCCCCTTCCTCGACAACCCCAAAAACGTCACACTAGCCGTCCCACCGCCGCCGCTCTCGATAAAACAAGTGATTCTCAGCTTCGACAGCTCGAGCGGATTGTCCACATACCCGCCCCCGTACGACATGCTTTGGATTCCTAGGACCTTGGCACCTGGGTACGGGGCTTGAATGGCCTGTAGGTCGGTACTGGCGTGAGCGGCCAGTTGAGTGGGGTGGCTGGCTCGACGTGCGGGGCTGGAATGCGGATGTTTGTTTTTTGCGTGCTGGTTTGGGGGTGTGTGGTCATTTTCTGTGGTGGTGGTGGTGGTAGTGGTGAATATAGAGACTTGTGTCTGTCCGGTTTGCAGGGGCTGCAGTGCCCATTCTATATACGATGGTGTTGTTGCTGCTTCGCGGGCGTGGACTAGCATCGTGGTGTCGAGTTTACAGGTGGTTGTGACTGGGGTGTTGGATCCTGTGGGGATGCGGATTAGGAGGTGGTCGTGCAGGAAGGCGGTTGTGGTAGTGATGCCTGGGAGACTGTTTGGGTCGCGGGAGGGGTGTAGGGGGGTTGTATTAGGTATACTTGTACAGGCTGTTGATTTCTTAGGCGGTATGTTAGGGGCTGCAGGCAGGTTCCTGACTCTCCATTGTCTTGTATCTCTGCTTCCGTTTTCGTCTTTGTTTTTGCTGACCTCGTTATCTGTAGATGAGAACTAGATGTCTAACCAGACAGCTTCGTCTCGTAATGGGTCGAAGACTACGGTCTGCGTGGTTGGGGTAGGTTACATCTGAAGCTCAAACCCAAACTCCTGCGCCTGCTCAAAGACCATTAATGGTGCGTATTCGTACGGAGTTGGACATCTCCAGCCGCTGAATTCGAATTCGATTATGGTGTTTTGCTTTTTTTCGTTCCACGTCGATGCGTGTTTCGTGAACGCGAGGCCGTAGATGTTTGCTTCGGTTTTGCTGTGCGTAGAGGGGTGAAGGTGTTTGAGGAGGCGTGGCATACGGCAGACAGGGTATCTGCTGTCATGGGCACGTAGCTCATGGTGTGGTGGTGTAGTTATGGATAGGAGGAAAGAGGAGATGCTCCAAAGAATCACCGGGAAAGAGGAGAATGAAGGGTGGTTTTAGCTGGTGGTGTTGCTATAGATATCGTTATATAGATATTTGGTTCTGGATCAGGTGGTAGTTGGCTGTTCAACAAGCATTCCCTAGCTGTCATTTTATGGTAAGACATGCTTTACTTCAGCAAGTGAGAATCTGACGAAGCGAGGCTGCCCCTGATCGATTACACTAATACTTCTAACTTTCATAAACCAGCAAGTGATAGAAAGGCAGTAACTTTAGTGTTTAACCAGATAATGCAGGAAAAGGATCTGAAGTATGATGCTTTCCTGCGTGCCAAAGCTTTTGGTAAGTGTATACTGGATTATAGCGATCAGGAGCCTAGAAAATAGGGGTTGGGCGCTGAACTCGCTTAGCCTTGTTACCCCGCTCTATATAGGTACCTAAGGGGGCTCACATCTTACTACTTGATTTCCAAAGATTACGAGAATTAATAGTACTTCTAAAGACTTTAAAAATAGCATCAAGTTACAAAACCCTCTCTGGCTTGGTTTATTTAGTGTTCCCCCCCCCCCCCCCCCGCCGGCGTTATTTTGAAATACAATAGCTAATCCCCTCAACCACGAGACAAGGCGCGAAACCCAACTCAAGACTATAAAGACTACTGGCTAGGAAGCACAGGTGGTAGTTTCAAGTTCGAGTACAGCACCAGGTGGAGTCGTCCTCCTAGACGATGTCGTGTTGCGTGACAGGTACGCAGAAGCTAGGTACCTAAGGTGCCTTGAGCTGTGCATCGGGAGCAGGCTGTAGAAAACGAGGAGTGTTACTCGATCGAGTAAGCACGAATAAGATGCAGAGATAATTATTACATGACATTTTCCAAGTAATCTAAAATCGAAGAAAGCGAGTTTAGGTAAAGAGGAGTGCTGGCTAGTGAAGTACTACTAAGACATACCAGCCTTTCGGCAAACAGTTGGATGTAACAGGACAGGACAGGGTAGAAAGTGCTACTTAGGTACGCTTATAGGAGAAACATACTCTTGAGAGTTTTCTGCTCATTGGGAGCTTAAACTATATCAAGAATATAGTCCGTACTATCGGCATTATTACCCCCGCCGCGTAAGCAGCAAAGTTGCTTTCTACTATATGTCCAAGCATTTATATAAAAAAGAAAGAAAAAGCATATAGATCTGCGAGCAGATCACCTCTATGCTTTTTGTCGTTAATCATCAACACCGAATACAAAAAGTCCATCTCCATTGATAAAGGGATTTTCATAGCCAGTGCTGTCCCTGATCCCGCCCTTGTTCTTTTACCAGTGCCTAGAGGGAGGTCTGCTTGAGTCGTGCGTAAAGTACTAAGCTGAAGCAAGCACGATATCTTCCACAAGCTTGAGACGATTTATTCATAGGTAGCATGAAATGAGCGGTAGACATGCTCTTTCTGAGGGCGATATATACCTTAGTGCAACGGCTGTAAATAGCAAAGCTCTTCCTAAAGGACTACATATGATAGTTAGATATCAATAATTAGTTCGAGATCAACCCTTGATGGAGGAAGGGAAGATTATGTGGTGCCAGTAGACGAATATAAGATTACATTTTAGTACATGGGTATGGACTGGGGCTAGAAAGCTAAATGGTTGATAGATAGCCTGAGATAGGCGTGGACGTTCTATACTCAAGAGATTTTATCAACAGCACTCGTTCGTTTTCTCATCTCTTCTACATAGATAGACAATGAGAACCCGACTTACTCCTAAGATACAATTGTATAGCATAAAAAAGAACCCTGTTATTCTAATATGCGATAGCCGTCTACAAGATATGCGCTACGCGATTAATATATCTAGAATCATAGATTCTGATCCTGATTCACATTCTCTCTACGTCTGAATCATCCAATGAATAGAAAACGACCTTGCGAGTGAGTCCGCTTCGAAGTTCAAATTGCAACTCCCGGCGGGGAAACGGAGAGAGATATCTATCGCGAGGGATAGGCTATAGATAGCGAGCCGATTCTAGCTCAGCTTAGGCGTAGAGAGCTTGTGTGCTGAGGCTGAGTACTGATATCTCTATCCCTATGCCGAAAGAAGCTCGGCCTACCTTATGCACCCCTATTTGAGATTCGGATAGCAACGTGTACTGTATATGAATAACCCTTCCCTTCCTAGGGAAACAAGTGGTCGAACCTGTCCTGTACGATTGTGGGCACTAGTACCCCTCTATACCCCAAGTCACTTTATTTCTTCCCAAGCAGCTTTGAAGAGGTTTGGCATCGGGAGCAGGGTTAATTGAAAGGGATAGAGACCAGCAGGTAGAACGAGATATTTCATCAAATAAAAGGCAAGTCATAGACAGGATTGTAAAACAGCAAGGGTACAGGTCGAACCCAAAAGACGATGTCAAATAGTTGCGTGGTAATTGGTTTAGAAGTACATTCATTCATTGGAGTGAACCGCCCAGCTAGTCTTAGAATCCATGCCCCGCCTCCATCCAGTACGCGCGAACCCATCTAGCCACCCACTCCCTTCTTTCTTCTACCCCCGAGCTCACAATCCGAAGGAAGATATCCAGACCCTCAATCCAACCACAGCTCAAATGCAACAAGCAAACAATAAACATCGCGTAAGGGGCAAACCAATCAAGCAAACTATCAAATATCAACTAAAAAATCCAAAACTCGACGCCCATCGCGCCTCGTTACTTTTCTTCTCATCGTTCTTTCATAAAAGGTCCGAGCGCAGCATCCTGGAACCAATTAAGGGAAGTATCATGAAGGAAGGAGAGCTCTCAAGGTTGTGTAAGTATATAACGTGCAAATTTGCACGAGATGAGAGTGGGCAGTGTGGTGAGTACCCAATTGATTAAGCGGACTTGAGATCTCTCCTTCCATTCCTTCCGATTCCAATAGAAACGCGCGCATGTTCGAACCCTCGTTTCGTGTCCGTATCCATTTCAAAGTCCAAGCAACAGATTCCCAAAGGTATGAGTGAAATGTATCCAGTGTGTAAGCTCCAAACCCAGGTAATGTAGTAAGTAGTAGTAGTGTAAAGGGGGGTCATAGCAGCGTCAAGTCGTTATGGTTGCCCAGTCGCTGTAATGTTTGATAGTTCCACAATGGTATCTTATGTCGTTCGTTTGCGTGCGGTGGTATTCGCCCGTAAACGCGGGGGCGTTTTTGTTTCGTAAGCATCAGCGTAAGATATCGAGTCTTCGGGTGCCGGTAAAGGCGTATTATACTCGCTTTGTTGTATGGATTTTGCTTTTTGGGGAATCGAAGATCATGGGGAAGCAAATTCGTCCATTCGTTCGTTTTCGGGGTGCGGTGAATAGCATAAAGGCCGTCCATCTGAAAATATGTACTAACTCCGAGTAAAATCGATAGCGAATGTGGTCTAGATCGTAGTTCAACGGAACCACGATGTAATTACAATAAGACGAACAATTGCAAGCAAGCAATCAAATTCAAACAAACGCCGATCATGCATAGTCCAGTTTCAACCGACCGATGACAACTCCGGTTTATGGGGTCAAATGTGAAGCAATACGTTCACAAGTAGGTGTAAGGTGTCGTTTCGTAACTTCGTGAAAAGTCGCTTCTCGGTCGGGGAGAGAGCGGGGCTTTACATGTATCGATTATTCGAAGGGAGGCTGCGATCGGAGGAATCTTGAGCAATGTTATCATCCCATTCCGTTTCGATGCTATTCAGATCAAGCTCACCACTGCCCTGATTGCGGTGTCCATTCTGTCTTGGCCGTTGGAAGCCAGCTCCCCATTCGCTACCTGGTCCGCGAGGTTGTCTTTCGGGGCGTGCAGTAGCACCGTTTCGAGGATTCTCATCGTAGGCATTGCCGTTCATGGGACGTTGGCTTCCAATAGGTCCAGCACTTGGAATTTCTCTCTCTTGTCCCATACGACCATTTGTGGCGGTTCTGCCAGCATTCGGGCGATCGAACCCGAGGGAAAGACCGTTGAGTCCGTTCAGAAGGGAGCTCTCGTCGCGGTTATTCAAAGGATTTTGGCCTCCTGCAGATGTTGGTGTTAGATTGGGGGTTCCAGAAGCTTGCGATGGTGGACCGTAGTCAGTGTATCGCGCAATAGTTGCCGAAGCATTGGTAGGATAACTTTGAACAGATTGCGAGGGTGAGGGTGTGTACGAACGGAGATCAGCGAACGATTTTGCCGCGCGAAGATTATTATGATTGACTCCCAATCCAGGAGATCCTGGAATATCCAAAAGGCCAGAACCTTGGTTCCGGAGTGAATGGTTGTAGTAGTTGCCATCGTTGGCTCTCGATTCGCCAAAGTCAATGGTTGCCGCACGGTTCAGACCACGGCGCGACGCATCGTTGTAGTAGGAGCTCTGCGGGAGTTGCGGGACGGCAGGGCTGATGGTGGAATGCCTTGTTTTGTAAACTTGAACGCACCGACCATCACCAGTTCCTTCGGATCTGTGTTCGAGCCCCATGTTGTGAGCCAAAGTATGGATTGTTCGGCGATCAGCAGGGGGAACAGTGCTTGGGAAAACGTAGATGTCTCTGCTGGCATCATTCTTGAACCCTATGAGGTCGCCGTAGAATCCCAGAATTACGGGGTCATTCATGTCGAGAGCTGAAGGGTATTAGTAGAGGAGTAAGTGAGGAGAGAAAAACCTACGGATTTGTGCCTGTCCTCTTAATGAGACTGGCGATGGAGACGAGGGTATGTGACTCGAGTTTATGGAGTTCATTGATGCTTGTGCATTGAGGGAGGGGACAGAGGCATTTGGCATCGGCCGGTGTTGTTCCTCCAATTGTCCGCGCTTCTCCCTTTTCTCGCGCTCTATTTTTTCCCTCTCCAGCATAGGGAGCATCTTCTTGTACTCGACTCTCAACTTTCTTCCTTGGAGCTCCATATGGTTCATCGTGTCAATGACAACTGAAGTTTCTTCGGGAGTGGTGAAGTTTGCAAAGGCCAAGCCCCTGAAAACTCCGCCGTCAAAGTGGTAGTTGAAGGCGTAGGGAAGCGGGAGGTGCATATCTGTCATAAGTTGTACTAGTTGCTCCTTCTTAACGGCAAATGGAATATTCTTGATGACAATGGCGGTGGGGATGAGCTCGTCGTGCTCGGGAGGAGTATCCATCCGCGGAGGGCCACCTTGGAGCTGTTGGTTGTATGGACCGTTGTGACCGTTCATCTGGTGTTGGTGGGAGAGCATGCCCATGTTCTGTTGTGGCATAGGGGGAGGAGGCATCGAAGAGTCCATCCAATTCTGAAGAATATGAAATCAGTATGTGAATGAAATGAGATGGGAATCCAACACTAGCTCTAGTCTACTTCTAGAGCAAAGGCAAACTTACAGAAGGTAGTCCAGCCCTGCGAGCCGTCTGAGATTTGACACGGCCCGTTCCGCCCATAGTATTTGCACCACCATTAATATTCATATTATTACCATTCAGACTAGGCGCCCCGTAGTTCCAGGTCTGGCTATCGTAATAGGAGTTGGAGTGAGGGTTTGCGTTGACGGGGGGGAAGCGGGCAACAGAATCAAATCGCGAAGCTACATGATCCTCCGAGGTGTAGAGACCCTGCTGCATCTGTCCACCGCCATAGCTGTCGAAGTGTCGAGATGGTTGGCGGTTCAGGGTCAGACCGCTACCATATCGGTTGGAACCCGGCGAGCGGTTGGAAAAGTCGGATGTGTACATGTCTTGGTATTGATGAGACATGCTGTGCACTGCTATACTGTGCTGTGGTGCCCTGTGCTGTGGTTGGAGATCCTCTACCTGACAGTAAAAAGGAGAGAGAAAGGGGGTGTCTGCCTCTGCTTTTGGTCGGCGTATGCAAGGAGCCGGCAGCTAGTTGCACGTCGTGGAAGCTCAGAACGCCTACTCCGAACCTCACAAGCCAAGCAGTGAGGTCAGGTCGGTATACCTACCAAGCTGGCTGTGTGGCAAGTGGCTGCTGCACAGATTATGTGCGTGGGTTGGTACAAGGCCGTCTGCGCTGGAGTTGAAGCTTGTGTTGGAGCAGCAGTACAATAGCAGCAGCTGCTGGTACCAGTATGTGCAGTGCAGCGGTGCAGTGCAGGATGTACCTTGGTATGTAATATATCGTCGGTCACAGCAGTGGTGCGGTGGCGCTGTGCTTCGTTGAAGGAGGATGTGGTGGTGGTGGTTGGTATTCGGTATTGATATTCGTACTGCGGTACTTGATTTTTCTCCCTATTTCCTTTCGTAACTTCCTTCGTACGTACTGGGGTATCGATGTGGATTCGTCGGACTCGTCAGGGACCGTGTCTTCGAGGCTCCGTGTCGCGCAAACGTTGGCTGGTCGTTGAGGGTTGATTATCGCAAGCCGACCGAGGAGAGAGGTGAAGTTCTTGGATGGCAGAACAGAGAGGGAGAGAGGGGGGGGGAAGAAGAGTGCAGAGGGTGATTTTGATTGTGCTCTTGATTTGAGTGAGGTAGGTGAGGCCCAAGGGACGCTAAATATGGACTGGGCCCGTGCTTTTCGTTTTCGCCTGACGAAGACGAGACGAGACGAGAGACGAGTGAAGGTTTACGGCGACGGTGAAAAAGCCGCGCTACACTTAGAAATGTCCTTTTCAACTATGAGAATACCACAAAAATGACGAGTGATAATAGGTATTTAGCCTGAACATTTAACTAGCACTGATTTTTGACGCGGATAGTCTCATTGAACACCTGGACGGGCAAAATATGTTTAACTAGCTAGCCTGGCTAGCACTACATACGTGAAAATCGACTCCAGCTCCACTGCTCTGTCTACGCCATGGTACGAAAAAGTAATAACAGTCACTTGGCGCTGTCAGTATTAGTATCGCGTAAGGACTGGACTGGACTGGACTGGCTGAGGAGGGTGCAGCTTCGAGGCTAATGTATAGGATACCCTCGACGTCGACCTTGAGAGAAGGCATGCAACTGGACTGGATGAGAACAGGAAAGGGGGGACTTCTAAAGAGAGGAACATCCCCGCAGGTATATTGCAGCCACACGAAAGTGATGGTTCTGTCCGCGACTATCAAAACAAGCAAGCTACCAGTTACTCAACACATATCAAGTACTTGCGCATTTACTACTTACGACCGGCGTCCTCGACACCACAATAGCTTCTCACTGGACGTAGCGTCGTCCAAACAAAACCACACATGCAGTCCTCCCATTACTATTGGTGACCATCCTATCCTACGCCTCCGCTTGTTTGGGTTCCTGTGTTTTGCTAAATATGATAGAATAGACCGGACGCCGAACTATGGATTGGTTGGTGGGCACGATGAAAAGGGGCTCAAGAATTATGTACTGGTGGAACTAAAAGGAACTAATAACTGCCCAGGTATCTTAGGAATCTGGAAATCTGGAATGTGACCTGCACGTAAGTAAGGCTACAGACCCATTCAAACCTCATCTATTCCTTTTGCCTTAAGAAACGCCATCCATTCATCCATTAGTTATCACCACCAGCGCCATGCACGCCCAAGGAGAAACCTATCACATCCACTCCACCGATCCATCATATTCCGCCACGCCACCAACCAATTTTGACATCGGTTCGCTTCGCCCCGCCACGACGAGGCGGGGACGGGGCACACGGATGGAAAAGCTAGGAGGGACTTTTAAACCTACTGTTGACCTTAACTACCTACTCTCTAGGTCCTTTCGTACATATATATAGCACAGACATTGTTATCACGACGGTATAATAGCATGCACATATTAAGACTTACTTCTATATCGCATCGCATCGCACCTAGTCGCACCTATACCTATTGTACTCTACAGGGAAGCTCGTTCTCGTTCTGCCAAAGCGCCATCTAGAACACGATAACGATGAATCAATTCCTTCCTCCCCTTCCTCCCCTTCATCCCCCCCCCCCCCTACAAGTGAGCAGTATTTTTAAATTTCCCAACCCTCCTCACATGCACAATCCAGTTTCACCTTAATGAATACCTACACGATCCCAGCCCAGTCCCAGTGATGGCTTGTCTTCCGATAGGTACATGGGTAAAGTAAAGTACGAAGTAACGTACTCTCCGTAACGTAGGTCGCAGAAGGGGTCGCTTCCATGCTTCCGATCTCCATCCCGCCCACCCCCTTGTTTCTTCTTTGCTTTTCCCATCCATCAACGATGCATGCGCAGGAAAGGGACGAGCGGGGTGGGGGTCAGGTAAGCATGGTTTGGGACGGATTCCGTCATGTGATTTATATATCGAGGACGCGAAGTCAGGTGGCTGGTTGTGAGGTTAAGAGGTAAGATGAGACAAGACAGATCAAAACAAGGAACTGGACTAGATGAGAGGAGGAGTTTCGCGAAGGCAGTTGAATAATTAATGAATGAATGAATGAATGAATGGGAAAGATGGATACGTCTATTTATACATGTCATGTGATCACCACTGCGCCCCACCCACCCAGCCCATCAATCTTCCTTATTCCTTCCCACAGCTTTATCTGCATCACGATCTCCCTGCCCCTACCTTAGATGCCCATACCTCCATCTTCCCAGCAACGGCAACAACAACAGCAACAGCAACACCGCTACCATCGT